CTCAAACCTTCACAACAATTCTGAGTGCTACTATTTTCCCTATATGACAAATGAAACTGAGGCTCAGAGAGGTTAAGTAACTTGTTAACAGTCAAACACTTGGAAATGGCAGAGGTGGGATTTAGACCTAGTGAAGTTTCTGAAACCCATATTCTTTTCACCACCTCAGGCTGCCAACTGACGCTACCAAATTCACTAAAAAAGAGGATGACTCAACAGGAAAGCGGGGAGAAAATCTGGCAAAGAAGTATAGAGACAGCACAAGATAGCATTCTATCTCAGAGTTCTAGACACACGGGAGCAAATTAATGAGCTGCATCTAACTACACAAATGAAAATGCCTGGATAAGCTATAACTTTTACTCTTCAATTCTACAGGTTCTAAAAATGTCTATCTGCACCAATTCAGAGGTACTGACAACTAAACACAGTCCAGTAATTTTTCTAGAATACTCAGAAAGGGTGCCTTTGACCCATTACTGACACCAAACCAAGCAAGCAATGGAGGTGATACATGTATGTTTGACAGTTTTCTCTGTTCACCTGGACCTAAACATCCTTGTGGAACTGGGCATTTTTCAGGCATATCTACTGCTACATAAAATTCACTTCACAGAATTTCAGAATAAGAAGAGGTTCAGTTCAATCATCTTATGGATGTGGAAACTGAGTCTCAAAATAGTCAAATGACTGCCGAAAGTCACATGGCTTGGTACTGGCTAAACCTCCACTAAAACGCTCATCTCCTATTCCTAGTCCACAGCAGCTCCTCTGTGCCTCCCACTGAATGCGTGACCAGCCAGGTTTCCTTCTACGTATCTGGGCATTATTCGCTATGGCTCCTTCTGCACGTCCTCAATGAAGTAAACAAAGGCACTGGGCTAGATAACACAAACAATAAAAGAGATAGAGCTGACCTGCTTTTTGCCCTCTAGGCAGTGCTACCCAAGCCTTCAGGAGTCATGGCACACATAGGAAATATTTTTTATAGCACAAAGTGGTAAACAAATTAGGGAGAACATGATCAAAGTGACCAGGGGATTCCCAAGCACCAGCTGGCTGCTCCAAGGGTTGTGGGGTATAGTAATCTTGGCATATTTTTATCTCAATCTGGCATGAGGCACTGGTAGGGAAGCTCTATTCCGGGGTTAATAAGTAAAAAATCAATTGAGATAAATATACAAATAACTGTAATGTAAACACAAAGGAAATAACTAAGGAGACTGTCACTGTCTGCTTTCATCAAACATAAGTGAGTGAAAATGAGATTAATTCAACTTGCTTCCTTTCATAACTCCTCTTCCAAACAAATCAAAAGACAGAACAGCCCATCCTTCAGGTCAACAGGGCTGATCAATCCCACCCACAAGGCTGCAAAGAGCCTGCACAGATGACTAGTTTACAGGGAGGCGAAAACTACTCAATGCACATTAGTGTGTCAGAAAAGTTCCGAGCTCTTACAAAGATTACACAAAAAAATCAATAGAGAAGAGAAAATAATATTTCAAGGTCATATTCAAACATGAAGGGAGAAGCACGAAAAGCAGCCCCTCCCAACACACACATATATACATATACGTCTTCTGTGAACAAGCTCCATCTCTCCAAACGCAGTTAAAATTTGCTTTCTGATAATTTATAAATTTAGCCTGCGTTAGCCAAGTAGGTTCCTGCAATTCCAGACATCTGGGCTGAAGGGCAAAGGGCAAAGGGAAACTTTCAAAAAGCTGGCTAGTAGCCAAGGGCATCACATCTAGTAGGCTCCCTTAGCAACACACAACAGCTGTTTGCTCGACAGACATACTGCCATCTTTGCAACGGACTATAAGATGTTCTTGTCTTAACAACTAAAAATTGCAGGCGGGTGCGGGGAGCAGTTTCTGTATTATTTCCTCTGACATTCCTCTAAAAGTTATCACATATCATAATTTACAAACTTCTCCAGTTCTAGAAAGTTTTCCTCCATCCCAAACTACAATGCTACAATTAATGGTAAATTACAATAATAGAAGGTACTACATTCCTGGCAAACATAAAATGCTTTATAATGTCTGATTATTAATTACTATTCTAACTGCTATAGACTTGATTTCTAACTATGGGCAAGTCACTCTTTGTGACTTAATTACTTTCCTCATACAATTTTAATAACAGTAGTGAGTGACCTACTTCACAAGACTACTGTGAAGGATAGTAATAATTAATAGATAAAAGCTTAAGAAAGCTTATTCCTAATTAATAATCATGCCACCTATTGGCTCTCAATATCTAAAGACATGGCTTATGAAGGTCAGTACCCCCAAAACAAAACACAAGTCGATCCTGAGCCACCAGGAAGACTGCAGTTCCTGAAGCAACCAGCTCACTTCACCTGCCCCACTTGCCTTCTCCAAACCTACCAAGCCCAGGGGATGGTACTGCGCAGGGAGTTCAGCCCTTGCACCTAAGTCTGACAAGATAAATAACATAGGGGGAGGAAACAAACAATGTCACAATCACTGCTAGGTTTTAAAAACCTAACACCTTGGAACAGAAGGGGATGTGGCAGTCTGTGCTCTATGGGGAGGCCATTTGTGCAACAGCAGAACCTCGCAGCTTTCCACTCCTTATATGTGCAAGTGCAAACCCTCACCCACAGCACTCTGTACTCACCCAGAGGTACATCATGTCAGATCGGGCTGCTCAAACTCAGCGGTCAGTGGATCCTGGACTGTAAAAAGGCACTTCAGCGAACCGTAGGAAAGAAGATGCCAGAACTGGGGGGCAAGGGTTTGAGGTGGGGAGAAACCCCCCAAAATCACTTGAGTTAAAAAATCCTAAAAAAAAAAAAAAAGACTGGTCTCCTCCCCCCTCCTCTCCAGCTGACTGTTCTGTTGTTCTCTCTCCTCCCTCTCACCCTCCCTCCGTCCCTCCGTCCCTCCCTCTCTCTCTCCCTCTCTCTCTGTTTCTCCCTCTCTCTCTCTCTCTCTCTGGGAGTTCCCAGCCCTGAGTATCTGAACTAGAGTGTACAGCACACTCGCTCTGTATTTGCCTTCAGGGAATCTCTCTCTGTAATTCTACTTCTAGAAACACAATCACCACTCACAAAGATTATTGCAAAAGACAGGGATGGGTGGGGTCAGTTATAAACCACCAGCACCAGTTTCTAGTGCTAGATATACATTAGTTTAAGATGAGTTCTTTAAACATGAATGAAGCAATCAAAAATCTCTGCCCTCTAAGATCCAGGTGAGTGAGCCAAGCTTTCCCTCTGCCCCAACTGTGGAGCCCCTTGCAGAAGCCAAGCACACACACAGAACCTGCTCAGCGCCCACATTCCTTTCTCACAATGTCTGCTGGACACCACTATTCTTTATGTCATTTCACCACTAATAATTCTTAATCTTACAAGATTTTAAAACACAAGAAAACTTAAGATATAAAACTGAATAGGCTTTTCATCTTTTTTATTACTACTGCCCTAGTTCAGATCAACATAGCCTGGCTTCTGAAAGAGTCAAGTGGATCATGAGCTCCTAGCATGGTACAGACACTTTACTCACCACGTAGGCAGGCTAAGGTGCACAGCCTGGGTTTCAATTCTAGATCTACAAGTAATATCATTATGGCCTGGGGAAAGTTTCCAGCCTGTCCAGGCTTCTGTTTCCTCAACCAAAAAATAGGTATAATACTCCTTTCAGAGGTGTTGGAATGATATAACTACGTAAACGGTCTGCCATGTTCCTGGTGACCATGTTTTCTAATTTCAGTTCAGTTCAAACATTTATTAAGTGCCTCCTATTGCCAGGCAAGTTTTTATTCATTATGCCCAGTGGTGAACAAGTATTATCAAATCACCTGTCCTAATGGTTTTTATTCAGAAAATCACGTAATTATCCCCCATATTCTAATGCCAATGTCAAGGCCCATGTTCCTTGCTTCCCTGAGCCATTGCTCCATGTTCAAATCCAAAAGCACACCCCAGCTGCGAGTGAGCTCTCCTTTCTCTGTGGGGCCTGGTGTTTGTAACATAGCACTGACCACCTCTGCGGGCTACTTCTCCAAGTATTCCTATAGCAAACCACTTCTCCTTTGCACATCTTCCTTGGTGGAGACCTAACATCTCGTCTTGACTCATCTATTTTTGGCCATGGAGTCTTTTGCATAGTACCTAGCACATAGTAGGTGCAAAAAACATTCTCAAAGGGTAATAGGTTTTGAGGAATATTCCACTCCTTCCCACTTATTAAAGAAAAAACAAAAAATAAAAAATAAATAAAATAAATAAAAAGCAAATAAAAACCACCTTTCAGCTGCCTCAGGGTTTTGGCTCCCCCTCAGACATGTTGAAACAGCTCCTTCCTGCTTATAAAATCTCCAAGTAAGGTCTACAAGTCTCACACTCAAGGTAGGCCCCATGCAGGTACTTTCACTCTCCCTACCTAATATTCCCACTGTGCGTGCTCTGGGCTTAGTTACCTGCCGTAGTGGGGTTTCTTCCTCTTAGGGTAGAAATAGAATCACTTTTCCTTTTCTTCCACACTGAACGCATGCTTTCCGCAGAAGAACCTTTTCTCTCCTCCGACCTTAAACTCCCAGCTCACTTAAACTTGGAGAGGTGGGGCAGGTATTCTTCTTGGCCCCACCCAAACCTTTTCTTTTTCTCTACAGAGAACCTCTCTGCTTCTTCTGAAGGCAAGATTACCACATTTCTAGTACAAAAGAGGAGAAAGAACTTCCAAGACTGAAACTGAGACAGCCTGTTTTCTAAATAAAAAAGAAAAATAAATCTTGACTTTCCATAAAATGTTAGACTCTTTTACACGTCCATAATCAGTTTTTAAACACAACTTCCCTCTCTAGTTTCATAGCTCATGCCCTAAATCTTAAGTCACCAACACTCCCTATACTATACTCTAAATAACTATATTAAAATTACACTGACAAGAGATTCATTTTTTCGAACTCTTTGAAGAGTCTGTTATTACTCGACATTCTTTTTTTTTTTAAACCTCAATGGTGGAATCCTATTCACTGTGTACAGGATTCTCTAAAGAGACCACCTGGCTAGGTGCTCAAACCACATGGGCTGACCCAAAAGACGCCAAAACCAGGAGTTACTCAGGAGGCACTAAATGGTGACAGTCTTGGCCAGTTTCACATCCTCAATTTCAGCAGCCAGCCAGCAGTAAGTGCGCTGACGCCGCAGCACCTCGATGGCCTTGAGTTCCAGTGGTGGTGCCTGAATACCAAGGTCTTCTAAGCTGGGCAGGTGAGACAATGTCACATCTGTGATGTGAATCCGCTCCACTTTATCCCTTGTTGTCCAGGGCTCAAATGGGCTTATTTCAAAGTCTCTTGCTACCCACTGATAGGCAAAACGTGGCAAGGGGTACGGGAGGAAGAGTCTGTGAGCTACAGCAAAGATGTACTTCACCAGGTCAAAGAGGAGGTACCCATTTGGCCCAATGAAAGCAAAGGTTTTCCCACGGGCATCAGGATCCTTAACTGCATTAACAATTCCTTTGGATACATCTACGACATAGCGGTTGTTTAACTGCCTTCCAGCCCAAGGAAACAAGGGGTATAGCACCAAACCAACACATATTTGCAAAATAATTAAGGAATCTATCCTCTCTTCCAAAGATGTCCAACAGCTTTATGATAATGGCTTCTGGAAATGCATCTCTCACTGCTTTCTCTCCAACAGCCTTATTTCTCAAATACCTAGAAGAGCTTTTAATATTCGCATTCAGATGCGAAACATGAATGAATTTTCCAACTTCGACTTCCTTGGACACCTGAGCAATTGCTTGGGGGATCTTCACAAAAACATCCTCAAAATCAAAGTTTTTAATTTCCCAGTCTCATCCAACAAGATTGATGACCACATTGCTGTGTTCCACTACTCGTCGGACAGAATCTTTATCTCTCGCGTCCCATTCCAGAAACAGAAGCTAGCCCAGGTCACCCATGGGACGAAGGTGCATGATGTCATATGTATCACACCGATAGGGAATGATCACCTGTGACCCCATGCGTCCAAGGTGGTTGACAACACATTGGCCCAGGAATCCTGTTGCTCCAAACACAGTGGCCACGATCCCACTGACTGAGGAACGTCCACCTCATGAGGTATGAGGGCATGATGAAGCTGGCAATGGAGTGGGCCGTGACACACAGATGTGGCTATTGCAGTAATGGCAGAACATGACATTGGCAGGGCCCGGGAACCCAGGATTGTGCAGCAGCCACCATCTTCTCCCACAATCCTTTTTTTGTTTTCTTTTTTGTTTTTTTGTTTTTTGTTTTTTGAGACAGGTCTCATTCTGTAGCCCAGAGGCTGCAGTGCAGCGGCGTGATCACGGCTCATCGCAACCTCTGCCTCCCAGGCTCAAGTGATCCTCCCACCTCAGACTCCAGAGTAGCTGGGACCACAGGCGCACGCCACCATGCCTGGCTAATTTTGTTGTATTTTTGGTAGAGACGGGGTTTCACTATGTTGCCCAGGTTGGTCTCAAACTCCTGACCTCAAGTGATCCACCTGCCTGGGCCTCCCAAAGTGTGGGATTACAGTCATGAGCCACCATGACCACTGGCAGTCATTCATTCTCAACCAAGTATCAATAAAATAAATATAATGAAATTCTGGATCTTCATACTGTAACTTTATAGTGTTATCTTTAATCAAGTTTGGGATAGGATAAAGATAAAAGGTTGGGCACGGTGGCTCACGTCTGTAATCCCAACACCTTGGGAGGTCGAGGCGGGCAGATTACCTGAGGTCGAGACCAGCCTAACCAACATAAGAAACCCTGTCTCTACTAAAAATACGAAAATTAGCTGAGCATGGTGGCGCATGCCTGTAATCCCAGCTACTCAGGAGCCTGAGGCAGGAGAATTGCTTGAACCCGGGAAGCAGAGGTTGCGGTGAGCCGAGATCCAGCCATCGCACTCCAGCCTGAGCAATGAGAGCGAAACTCTGTCTCTAAAATAAAATAAAATAAAGATAAAACACATACCCTGCAGCAAAGCAGGAGAAAAATACCAAGAAAAGAAACCCTCAAAATAAAGAAAAGTTTAAATATGTCACAAAAACTCTGAAAACTACCTCTAAAACTCCCATGGGTGGAACCATCATAAACTTTTTTGGAACCACAGGAAGGGCTTGTAAATTCCTATTGTAAATGCATCCATTCCTTTTCTGATTATAATCTTTAAAATTAGGTTGTCAGTCTGGTTAGAAATAAAACTCTTCTGTACGTTTCCTTTATGAATACATACAAAAACCAAAAACCCACAGGGAAGCTATCTTTTTTATTCATGCTCCTGCATGTTCACATTTTTCTACCTTTAAAAAAAAGGGAAAAAAAAAAAAAAAACCAAGAAAGAAAAAAAGGGGAACAAAGTGGCAGGAGAAGAAAAAAATTTCTTTCCAATTATCAAAGTCAAATAAGGAAAGCTATGCTTTGTAACTATGTACAATTCACATTAAGAGACAAAAAGGTGTAAAAACTCTACACTATAAAGAGACTCTAAAAAGAATCATCCAGAGATTAAGATGCCTACACACTTCATTCTATCAGGAGAGCATGTTATCAGACTTTGTGACTGATAGCTTATCACCCTGTCTGTGAGTTCAGAGGAGAGAATGTGTCCATTTGAGCACTGAAGAAAGTCTTCTGAGGGCCCACGAGGAAGGGCCTATTTCTGACATGCTTGCTTCTGAGAAAGAAAAATCAGATAATCTGGGACAGCAATATGAGTACTGCCAATAATTCCAACCTTGCATCCTGAATTCCTACATCTCAAAAATGCTGGATTTTATAATGTGAGTCTTGTGGGCAGAAAGGGTTTGGAGCCACATTTTAGATTCTCTGCCTCTGACTCCAACAATTCAAGAGGCTACTTGTTTTGTTTGTTTTTGAGATGGAGTCTCACTCTGTGACCCAGGTTGGAGTACAGTGGCATGATCTCAGCTCACTGCAACCTCGGCCTCCCGGGTTCAAGTGATTCTCCTGTCTCAGTCTCCCAAGTAGCTGGGATTACAGGCGCCCGTCACCACACCCAGCTATTTTTGCATTTTTAGTAGAGACCGGGTTTCACCATGTTGGCCAGGCTGGGAGGCTACTTGTTTTACACGAGTTTCTCTGTGGTTATAAGAGGATAGTGGGGGGAAGTAGGTATACTGGGGGAGCTAGCACAATTTCTCAAAAATGTACCTGAAAAATCAAGCACTAAAAATTTTTCATAAGAAATCTGAGGCAACCCTCTATACATAGTTTATATTCCTATCACTTCCTGGACTGGCAGAGACAATACAGACTCACCAAAACAACACCGAGCTAGAGAAATGAGATGTATGAGTATTGTCTATGAATCTGACTAAAAAAAAAAAAAAAAAAAAAAAGAGGCTCTTTTTCCCTCACTTCCTCTCAGCTTAAAATAGCAGGGATTCCCACAGGGCAATCTCTAATAGAATTCTGCTACTCAAATGTGACACATGGACCAGCATCAGCAGAATGAGCATCAACTGGAAACTCCTTAGATTTGAAGAATCTCAGGCCCCACCCTAGACTTACAAAATCAAAATCAAATGATAACAAAAGCCCCAGGTAATTCTCAGGCACACTGAAATCTGAGAAGCTGGTCTAGACAGAGGCACTGGCCACATGCAGCAGTAGAGACTCATGGGAGAAGGGGTAGATATGGCTGCCACTTTCCAGTTAGAGGATGTAAACCACCGTGGAAGACAAAACAGTGAACATTCCTACTTGCTGATTTCAATATAACACCACCAGCAGCTACTATTTACTCAGAGCATATTATGTGCCACAACTTTGCATGCATTATCTCATTGCATCTTCACAATACCTCTGTAAGATAGGCCCTATTATCTTTTTCACAGATCAAAGGAAATTGAGGCTCAAAGTGGTAACATAATACACTCATGGTCTCACAGCTAGTGAATAAAGAGCCAAAAGTTCAACGTTGGTTTTTAAGACTCCAAGATCGTTTCCACTAAACCATACCTATTCACCGACAAAACTGAATCAAGACTGGAAGAAATCACTGAAAAACTTACCTTGGATATAACTCTGCACTCTACCTCTGCCCATTACCAAGACTTTAAATAACAAATGAAGCCAGGTGTGGTGGTGTTAGCCTGTAATCCTAGCTTCTCAGGAGGCTGAGGTGGGAGGTTTGATTGAGCCCAGGAGTTTGAGACCAGCCTGGGCAACATAGTAAAACTCTCATCTCAAGAAAAAAGTAAAAAACAACAACAAATGACAGAGATAGGGTTTGGGAGTTGGTGTACACATACTGTACATGTGCACTGGCCAAAACACTGCTACTACTGACGTCATTAAGAGAATAGACCCAGAAACTTCTGTGAATAGTGGTTACCTTCTATAATGTCTAAACTAAGCTCTAGATGTATACATGGAGAAAGGGGTCCATCTCAAAATTAGCCTCTTGGGAAAGGCAAATAACTCCCAGTTATTAGGAAACCCAGAGCTACTATCCCTAAAACAGAAAACTGCATTATCTTGACTGGGCGCGGTGGCTCACACCCATAATCCCAGCAATTTGGGAGGCTGAGGCAGGTGGATCACTTGAAGTCTGGAGTTCAAGACCAGCTTGACCAACATGGTGAAACCCTGTCTCTGCTGAAAATACAAACATTAGCCAGGTGTGGTGGTAAATCTGTAGTCTCAGCTACTCAGGAGGCTGAGGCAGGAGAATCGCTTGAACCCGGGAGGCAGAGCTTGCAGTGAGCCAAGATTGCACCACTGCACTCCAGCCTAGGTGACAGAGCGAGACTCCATCTCAAAAAAAAAAAAAAAAAAAAAAAAAAGAAAATAAAAGAAAGCTTCATTATCTTAAAAGACTCATCTTTCTTTATTATGTTTCAATTATACTCTCAAAGAACTTCCCTTACTTCTAACTAACTTTCTCTGGTATCCCCTCCCTACAATTTTTGACCTCATGAAGTCCTACCATCCCAACCACTTTTTCATTACCTACCCACTCCGGTTCTGCACCCACTTTGTCCAATTTTGATGCTGTGTTCCATAATTACAATCTCTCCCTTGCAAATACCCTCAATCATTTGTCCTCTCCATCACTGCCATCTGACAAAACTCCAATCCCGGTTAAATCTAATTGTCTGCCTTTTCTAGTGCCTGTGCCCAATCAGCTGAATGTTGCTGAAGAAAAATCACATAACCAAGCTGACTGACTTCACTATACATTCATGATCACAAACCTCAAATGGACACTCAACGATGCCAAGCAATCCACCAAAGCTGCCCTTGAAAGCTTTCCTGCTCCCCAAAATGACTATTTCTTGCTTCTCCTCAAACCTCTCTCATTTGCTCTTCACCACCTACTCTCAGCTAATTTTCTTATTGTATTTTTTGTCTGTTTGTTTTGAGACAGGATCTCACTCTGTTGCCCAGGCTGGAGTGCAGTGGCGGCATCGTGGCTCACTGTAGCCTTGACCTCCTGGGCTCAAACTATTTCAAACTATTCTCCCACGTCAGCCTCCCAAGTGGCTGGGATACAAGCACAAAAAAAAAAAAAAAAAAATTAGAGAAGGGGCGGGTCTCACTATGTTGCCCAGACTAGTCTTGAACTTCTGGGTTCAAGCAATCCTCCTGCCCCAACCTCCCAAAATGCTGGGATTACAGCCGTGAGCCACTATACACAACCTCTTAGCTAATTTTCTGCCACTACACACAACCTCTTAGCTAATTTTCTATCTAAGTATGTAATTTTAAATGAGAAGCATTCAGACAGTATCTTCTTACCACTAAATCTAATGTCCTATAATAAGTAAATGATTAAATGAACCCTAACTTTTTAAAGTTCTCCTTTGACCCCTCATCTCCCTCCAGCTACCTGCTATTTCCCTGCTCACCACTTCAGGGTAAATTGTCTGGAAAAAGTTGTTGGCTGTACCTGTCTCAATTTTTTCACCTCTCATATTCTTCAGTCTACTCAAAACAAAGTTTCCAAGCCCTCCACTCCATTAAATCGATTTATCAAGGTCTACTACTTCCCCATTTATCTGACCTCTTAGCAGGATTCAACAAAGCTGACAACCTTCTTTTTTTTTTTTTTTGAGACGGAATCTGGCTCTGTCACCCAGGCTGGAGTGCTGTGGCCAGATCTCAGCTCACTGCAAGCTCCGCCTCCCAGGTTCACGCCATTCTCCTGCCTCAGCCTCCCGAGTAGCTGGGACTACAGGCGCCCGCCAC